AGGAGGAGCTTTGTGCAAATAGTCAGCACTTTGTGTGAGCAACCATTTAACTTCAAAAATGTATCAAACATGCATGAAAAATCAAAGCAACATCCCAGGTATGTTTGTGATGACAAGATAATATTATACCATAATACAAAGATCAAAAATGTTGATTTTACCTAATACACTCCCCCTTTAAAAGTACTAAACAAATAATTATAAAAAACATAAGACTTTAACTAAATACAAATGAGAGATAACTATTGTTTGCAGCCCCTGAAAGAACCTTAGAAAATGTAAAAACATGATAGCTGATCAAGTTATCTTTAAAAATGCGGATATTTAAAAGACCACAGCAATTTGTTTGAGCATTTGAATAGTTTATTCTTTCATGGCTTACAAATCTTGTTTTGTTTAAAAGAGACGTATGTGTTTTACATGATGAATATAAATGCTGCATATCTGTCCTGATTGCATGTTTGCTGTCAACTTAGCGTAACTGTTAATAGACAAAGCAATAAACCAGAACAGGATCATGATTTCAGAGCCTTAAATAAAGAGCATCATAAGGGCTGAAGACAGGAGCAGCAGGGTGACACCAGGTCCAGTTGGTACGGCACCGTTGCACAAGTCCTTGTCACAGCACTGAATGGGAGAAATGCAATCTGCCTTTTTCCAGCAGCCCCTGTCAATCAGTCCTGTAAGAGCAAGAAAACCTCTCAATAGTATTCATAAATATGCTCTATAATGTCCACAAAAAGCTCATACAACAGGTTAAATCTTTTTGCAAGTGATCAGTTCAAGCAGCACAGATTCTCATACATTTAAATTCTTACCATTTGTCATCAAAGAAGCACATCGGTCGAAACCATAAGGACAAGTTAGAACACCTGTGCAGGTATTGGGTTCAGCTGTTGTATATTGGTAGCATCTCAATCCGGATGCTAAATGAAGAACCAAAAGAATTAAACATCATTATCAATAACAACAAAAACAAGCTAAGAACTTGACAGATGTGTGTCTTTTTTATTACACTTACAAGCCACTTAGATACAAATTTTCAATTAAATGAAAAGAAAGTCTTAAAGCCTTTAACGGTGAAAACATAAATTGTTTGTACTGTTGAACACGGCATTAAGACAGTCCCGTCCGAACTGTAAATACAGAACTCAGTACATTCAGTACATTTCTATATACATTTTTACAGAAATGAGTAAATCAATCAATCAATCAATCAATCAATCAATCAATCAATCAATCAATAAAAACAAGACTCAAAATTTTGGTTTAAAATCTCAAAAAATATAAAATCCAGTTCAAATATTTTATAAACTAATAATGAGAGCTTTAAAGAAATATATGACTTACAGCTTTGAATCAAGTCATAGAGAAACTCCTAAACTTTAGGACAAAACCTGAATTGCTTATAAAACTTAATCTTTGTTTTATTTCCCCCCTTTTTGTTAAATTCAAGAAATTCTTACCAACAGAAAAAGTTACAAACAGGACAAGAACTCCGTAAAGCTTCATCATGAACGTAGGCTGTGCGAAGGAAAAACGTTTTCTCTCAGTCCTTTCTTCTTTCTCTTCCTTTTCCTCAGTAAGCCCGCTCCACTGGGACCTGAATATAAAGAGCTCTCAAATGACATCATGGCCCTCATAAAAACTCAGCATTACTTTCAGTTCTGACATGTGTTTATTCAGGATATTGGAATATGTCATTTAGAAAAAGAATTGTAAACATGTCAAAGTCAGTAAGTGTATCTGTTATATTAACTGAAAGTTGAGAGGAAGGAAGAAGTGTGATAGAAAAAGTTGATTACGTAACAGGGGTAGTTGAACCGTAATGGGTAGATTTTGAATCTAAGTCCACAGAAGAGTTGGTGGGATATTGTATTTTTTTCAGACATCAAGGTAATAAAGTCTGGAGGAAGAGTAAGTGATTGAAATTGCTTGGGATACTGGTTGAAGTTTTCACAGTGCAAAATTTAGGATGCCATGTCATCTTCAGAGCAGCCATTTGCAAGAAATTTTAAAATATTTCATGTTTCGTCCTGCTGATAAGCTTTATGGAGTTCAATAACACATTCAAGGCAAACATTCACCTTTTGTAGAGAAGCAACTGGTGATCCCACCAGTACAATAATGGAGATAATGGACATAATGGACATACAGGATTCCCGAAAAGCATTCTCTAATGTGTAACCTTTTAATCCACATGATAAAGAAACACAAAAAAACTCAAACCGATCCCACAAAGCTGGGAGCATGGAATTGTCTAAAATGTCTTGATATGATGAAGCCTTCAGAGTTCTTCTTACTGGAAATAGGGTTAGAGTTAGCCCAGCTCCTGAAAGACAACCCCACATCATGATCCCCCCTCCACCAAACTTTACATTTGGCACAATGCAGTCAGACAAGTTCAGTTCTCCTGGCAACCGCCAAACCCAAACTCGCCCATCAGATTGCCAGATGGAGAAGCACGATTTATTACTCCAGAGAACAGGTCTCCACTGCTCTATAGTCCAGTGGCAGCATGCTTTGCATCACT